CAGAAAATAATTCAACATGAAGAATAGAATATCTGGATAGAGGACCAGCGTTTCTCTGTGCAATATCAGATATAAAAGATTTGGCCATTTACTTGCTGAGGTTGTGGCTATATGGAAAGTGGTTTTCTAAGAAGGTAAATGTAGAGGACAAGTTGCCTTGTGTTCATAGGGCTGTCTATGACTATGATGAACACCAAGGAGAGGCTCCATGCCAGAAACTACACCAACGTAAGGTGATACTGTTTGCTCGATCCCTTTAAAAACTGTAAATTAGAGGCGTAAAAAGAAGAAACATCATCACCTAGGACATGAAAATCCAAAGTGGCTGAGAGAAACATGTTCAACAAGGAAAAAGTTAACCTTGTTCCTATGGGAAAGAAGAAACATCATTCAGAGACATATAACAAGTTCTAGCCCTTGGGCTGCAAACAAAAAGAAATACTTTGACAGATTGCTATAAGCCTTTCCAATGACTTCTATATGCCAGCAAAATGTCTCTCACACAAGAGTCTAAGTACTGTTTGCTGTGGAATTTTATTGTTTTATATTCTTCACTGTGAAGATTTCATTACTTATAGTTATGTTGTACCATGCATGTTTTAATTTTTTTCTGTAAACCATCATGATTCTGAATAAGTGGTGATTGTGCTGACAGCAGGACTTCAATGTTTTTGCAATAAACATTCGGAACATGAGTATTCAGAACTGAGATGGTTCCATTACATTTCTATTAGTTAGAAAAATTGAGTCCTATAAAGGCTTATTATATTTCAGATCCTGAGAAAGCATAATTTCAAAACAACCTGATCTCAGAACAATCATGTCTCTATTATGAACCTCATCATCTGTGGAAGAATGTCACAGAGTTGAACAATGAACAACAATGCTAAGAAGGCAAACTCTATGACAAGGTGGTAAAACAGGAATGTTAAGTAAGGATACACAAAGGACCAGCTTAGTTTGTGCCTGAGTGGTAATTTATTCAAACCAAGGAGTTGTTATTCCCAGTTGGGAATAACAAGATTTACAGGACCAGATAGAAATCTTCTGATTTTTGTTCATATTACATTGTTGACCATTAATAGTTGTAGTATCCTCTAGCATATTAAATATTTCCACATTATCCCTCTGCCCCAATCCCCAAATCTTTTAAATGTTAATTGTCTATTTAATTTATATTTTTCTACTAAACTTAAATTAACATGTATTAATTGTGGTTAGTTAACACTGTTGTTAAAGTCTTGCTAGGAACCTATATACTTAGCAAGTGCATATATCTACTAAGTCCATTTAAAATATTCTCTCATTCAATAAAATTGTGAGATTACTTATTGAATGAAATTATTATCAACAGACTGAAACACTGTAAACTGGCCAGTTAACCTTGTAACTGATATAATATATCAGAGCCTAAATTTAGTTTTTAAATTAGGAAGAAAACAAAGATAGTCCACCTGAAAATTAAAAAACAACTCTGATTCTGAAAAGGGTATGCACGTCAGAAACACACAAGAAACTGATGCTGTATAATAATTCAAATTGTAAGATAGTGGGCAAAAAAAAAAAAAATTATTGAAAAGTGTGGGCCAGATAAGGGATAAATATGTCCTTATATTCCAAAAATGACAAGTTGGAGCAATATATTCTATATAGTTTAGATTTAATAAATCTAGTATCAATATGGGATTAATTGAATCCTTAAAGACTGAATTAATCCCATACTGATACTAGATTTATGCGATATGAATTTATATTTTTGTTTTTCTCCTCATGTTTAGTTTATTTTAATCACTATAAAGTAAGTAGATTTTTATACTGCATAAATCATTCGTGTATTTTTTTTTGTAGTAGCAGTTTCATGTTCTATCTTACCAATAAAAATGTATTAAAAAGGTGGGGGTCAGCATTCAACTATGAAGAAATGTATTTAAAATTTAAAAAGCACAAATGAAATGCAATATATTTTTACTTTCAAAGCAACAGCATCCAGTAACTCTAATTTTAAACTCTGGAAAGTATGTTTGGAGAATAGTTAAGAAAAATCTCCATGGAATTAGCAGCTCTAAGCTACATTACTACGCTAAGTTGAATGAAGTCCAGGTCTGGTACATGCATAACAATGGCATGTTTTCAGAAATACAAAAATGATGTCAGTAATAGTCTTTACTCTGTTCTATAAATGAAGTGTTCCCTCTTCAATTCTCTCTCTTTTTTCACTGAAAGAAGTATCTATGCCAGCAACTAACATTTTAAAGCGATACTGTATAACTTGTGTTGTGATTGTTGCTTTAATCAGAGAATTAGTAATACTGTCACTGAAAAGCCATGGAAGGTGGGGGATAAAGTGTATTTATCCACTAAACATGTCAAGTCTCCACAGCCATCAAAGAAGTTGGGACTTAGGTTCATAGGACCCTTTACCATCGAAAGGGTGATGGTAAACCCAGCCTCCTTCCGACTACAGCTACCAAAGGACCTTAGAAACATGCATCCTGTGTTCCACAGCAACCTCCTGAAGCCTTGCAAGGAATCACCTAGGTGGCATCCCACCCAGCCAACCCCCAATCCAATAACGATAGGAGGAGAGCGGCATTTTGAAGTGAAAGGGATTTTAGATGCCAGGAAACACAGAGGACAAATACAGTTTCTGGTCCAATGGAAACATTTTCCCAAGTCTTATTACAAATGGGTGGGGAAAACCCATGTGAGAGCACCCAAACGAATCAAGGACTTTCACAGAAAATATCCAGACAAACCAAAATAGTTTGTTTTATATATATACAGGGTTGCACTTATGATGTTTTTCTCTCTTTACTCTTTTACAGGTCCTCAGTTCCAAACAGTAAACCTAATCCTTCTTCCCAGAGGGGTGGCATGTCAGAAGCCTCGCAATCAATTAACCGTTTTGCTAGTTGGCTTACTTCGTTTCTGCCATTATAGAAAAGGGGAAGCTAGAAGAATAACCGTTAAGTGCAGATGGACTGTTGTTATCTGTTTCTCAGGAATGCCCAAGGTCGTACCAGCGTGAGACCAGCGAAAGACACAAGAAGGACTATGGGATGGAAGGGTGTGGTGGTGAAGAGTAAAGGAGTTAAGTAGAGTTCGGCATGTGCCGGCTTTTTAATTTCAGCAATACTTTGGAGACTGTATACTACTTCTCAATAAATGAACCTTTCTTTGAACTTGTCTGAGTTTCAAGAGGAGTCACATTTGTTGGGGGCTGAGCATTGCAATTCATCACAAATATTTACCACACACTGAAACAGCAGCACTTGTAAATCTAAGTCTGATTACAGTATTTTTCTCTAAATTCTAAGAAGCCTATAAGTAAAGGATGAGGAGAAGGATGCAGAATGAGGATGCGGACAAATGACATAATTTAACAGAAACATTCAGAAATTTTGTCAGTTTAGGAGAAGCATTGCTTACATTTTTAAAAAACTGGATTAAATTAGGATTTTTCAATGGTTAAAGTAACAATAATAGTACCCTATGTAACACGTATCACAGAACTTTACCTTATCTTTAGTAAAACTATTTCATGTATTTTTGTAAAGCAAGAGCAAGCAAACATTTCAGTCATGAAGCTACTCGAGCTGCCAGGGTACAGGAACCATGTGACACATACATACTGCCTATGCTCCACTCTCTCCCAGAGAGTCTGAACAAGATTGCAGTCACTGAGAGGGAGGTGGGGAGATTTGTTACCCTGCTTGAACAAAATCAGAGGGAGGGAGGGAATCTATTGCCTCTTTCCAATGACCCACTATAGATAGATAGCTTTCTGTACTCATTTGCAGTAGGAAATGATGTTTCCAGTTAATCAGCTGATCAAGGTGGGGCTCCTTCTAGTTCCACAAGCTGCATTTTTAATGACCAAGGTCCACATTCAGACTACAATCTGATTGTCCCAATATAAGAAGTGAACAAACCAATTTAGAACAAACATCCCACTGTGGAGTCCTTGGGGTTCTCTGAGCTTGGTTCTTTTCTTGCAAATGTTTCATTACCCGGCTAGATAACATCTTCAGGTAACATCCCACCACAATCTCAAAGGTGTTTTGTAGAGTCAGATATTAAACAGTTAATCCTTTGGCACTGATATGCTTCATAAATATTAATAATTTATGAAATAAATTAAATAAAATAAATTTATTTATTTATTTTATTTATTAAATTTCTCACCCGCCCATCTCCCCCCAATGGGGGAACTCTGGGCGAGTCACACCAAACATTAAAAACATAAATATATATAAATACATAAAACATCAGTTTAAAAGCATTTCTAAAGAAGGGGAAGGAGAGTCCAAGAAAATGAAAAATCTAAGGCTGAAGACAGAAGGCCTCTGCTTCTCCCCATGCTTGAGGTCTTCCCTCCCCACCCCATGCCAAGTGGCAGAACCAGGTCTTCAAAGCCCTATGGAAGGCCAGGAGTGAGGGGGCCAATCGCATCTCTGGGGGCAGAATGTTCCAAAATGCGGGGGCTACCGCAGAGAAGGCCCACCTTCTGGACCCCGCTAATCGAAGTTCTTTTACTGAGGGATTCCGAAGCATGCCCTCTCTGCGTGATTGGGTGGGACGGGTTGAAGTCATAATATATAGAATCATTTGAGGAGAGTCAGGAAAAATAAGCAGCAAAATACTTTTAGGAATCTGCTAGCTTTTCATTTTAAAAGAGAACTCAACATTTCCAGGTGTCAATCCAATCTATTCAATTCCAACAGAACCTCTGGTAAATAATACAGTAAGTACAACTCCTCAGAGAGCTAATTTTCAAAGGCATCCTTCTGATTTTCAGCTACTCAAATTTACGAGGTTGTGTTTTGAACATACTTCCCATACACCATTTTCCAGGGTTCTCCTATGAACATTCTAATGGTAAGCAGTCTAAGGGTGAAGACATATTGCACAATATAATTATATGGTGAGCATTAAAGACACTTCCAAAAACAGTGCATTAAAACTGCATAAGCGAGAACCAGCAATTGGAATACTCTTACCTTGTTAATGTGCAACTGCTGCTGCTGAAATTGCTGTTTGTGTTTTTCCAAGAATTGCTGATGTTGTTGTTGGATCACTAATTGCTGGAGGGCCTGTGCATTTTGAGGAAGAGGAGCAGACTGTGTGCGCCCCAGAGGGCGGTGCTGCCGCAGTTTGTGTATTGAGGGAGACAGCCTATCAGCACCCACAAGAGATTGAGCATGGAGCGGGAGTGCCCCTAGTCCTGAAAGATATCAGTTAGAAGACAATATGGAGAAAAACAGAAGAGGAAGGAGAAGCTTTTGAATAACTCTTTCCATTGTAGCAACATGATTTATTTATTTACTTACTAACATTTATATCCCACCCAGCTCCAGAGACTGCAAGTGGCTAATATCAGTTAAAACTTATAAGATAATCATAATAACATAAACATAGCTATCATAATAGAAAACAAGAAATGATGAAAATAGACAAGTATTAAAAACAATCCAGGCTGCCATTCTTAATCTCTAACTGGCTCTTTAAGCCAGACTCTTTGTGGCTCTAAAAAGCGAAGAAGAATTAAGCGAGCCTCTTTGTCCTTTTTGCCAGTTTGCAGGTTTTTAAGACAAAATTACCATAAGATAAAGAATTCTATATATGTATATTCAGACCTCTCATGACAACAGGAGTGTTATTTGAGAGCTTCCTTATATGAAATAAAGAAAAACCTATGGCGAGAGTTACTGCCATTTGATCACAAACATTATCAATAGCATAATTTTTAAGTAAGCATGTGCTGAGCAAGTTTATTCTTCATTTGCTGCCCTGAATAGTTACTGATTCCCAGCAGGAACCTCAGAATTTTGGACATGTAAATCATTTGGTAAAACGATTCAAGGCATGGAGTAGTTAAAGGGTGGAAAGGATAGCCATCCTTACAGCAGTAGGGCACAAGAGGCTAATGCCAGGGTCTAACTGTCACCAATGCTGCTTCTTTACTTGGTATCAAGTCAACTAGTTGCTGGGAGAAGTACTTTTACCTGAGACTAATGGATTTTGTGCAGTTGACTGTTCCAGTAAAACCATGTGCTGGAGAAGAGGGCTGTGTGTCGATCCCCCTTCTCTATCCACTGCTGTACTGCTCAAATAAGGAGTGATGTGGGTGCCAGGAAATATGGAGATTCGTTGTTGTAATGATGGAATAGCAAGTCTTTCAGAATCTTGCTGTCCTGATCCACCCTGCAAGCATATAGCACCAAGTTTAAGAAGTGAGCTTACAAATGGAGTTAAGGTAATGACCCCTTCTAAATTATATAATATCACTTACAGTACATGGGGCAGCTGCAGGTAGTCCTAAGGATATATTAGGCAACGAGGGAGATGTATACAATGGAAGCTGTGTTATTGAGCCTTCACGATTAACAGGTCTATGAGCCAAGTTGGTCTGAAAAGAGAGCCAAAAATCCTGCCTCAGAATAATACCATTATATAAGAAACAAATACCTTGTGTGTAATCATTATTTTGGGGGCTTTTTAGAGCTTTCCAAAAATGTATACTTTTGGGGAGAGGAGAGTCAAAGGAGTTTATAGGAAGTCTATCAATGAGATTAATTAAGATAGTGTATTTGGAGAGTTAAGAGTTTATTGTTGTAAGCAATACAACAAGCACTGAAGCAGATGTGAACCCTGTGCAATGTAAACTCTAAATAACAACAAGGAAATGGGAATGGAATAAGACTTCTTCCACCACCACAAGAAGGTCTTGGCAAATGAAACAATGCCACAACAATATTATCCCAAGTGGGGCATTTTAACTAAAAATGAAGACAGAACATCGCCAGGCTGCTCTGCTGCTACTTAAAGCACAGGTACTGATTTTATTATGGGATGAAACTTAGTGCGCTGACTACCTCACTGGAATGGTAAACCAATGGAGGAGTAACACAAACCTCCCACTTTTACAGAAGGACAAGGGCTCAATGAAAGAAGGAAGCAGAGTGCCTCATTCTATTTTCATCAATGTACTGTATACAGGAAGTTAAAGGAATGAACAATAATAACAGTAAATGGAATTCCTGGTTATCAAATTCCCTGCAGTATTATAGTATATATAATAATATATACATAATATACAAAGCATATAATATAAATATTATATATATTTAACCTTGTGAAAAAGATATGAATATTTCCCCTCTACCTGAAAAATCAGTGTACAAAATGCATATGTTCAATTGTGTATGACTATGATGTTTTTATTCCATCTTCCTCCAAGGAAATCCAGAGACTATACAGAAATTCAAATCTGAAAAGGAAGAGGTCCTTTGGAGCACTAGCCATCAACTCCTGAACCCAAATGCCTTTTTCCAGGATTTAGTTGCAGCCAGGCGGTCCTGGGAAAATACAGAACTGCTTCAAGTTCACATGAAGTGGGCACATGCTCTGAAGCACTTTTTCCCTTCAAATGGGATGCCTGCATGGTCTTAGCACATACAGTTCATTCTCCATCTCTGTTTTCCTCACAATAAGGCCATGAGATACAGTAATGTTGAGACAGCATAGTATTGTTGAAGAAAAGATCTTCAGAATCAAGTTGGTGAAAGTTCACTATTAGACTGAAGGGTTTAAAAAGAAGCCTTTGCTGTTGATAGCCACACTGTTTAGGCTGCATATGAATGCTGCTTATTGAATGAATCCCAGGATCTCAGTCAGATATCAGAACATAATAGTAGGACTGGAGCAATTATTCCATAGCTTGGGATTCTCCACATCAGGATTTTACAAAGAATTGCATGTGGTGCTACCATTGAAAATTCTTGGCAACTAAATGGTACAAAGGAATTCAGTTCAAGGAACTGGTATATGACTTTAAACTGCCTCCAAGTTTAAATCTGTATGTAAATTAAAATCTTTCTCAGATACTTTTCTTTAAATGCCACTCTTTAAATGAGACAAGTGGCTATGGGAGAAGAGAATATTTAGAATGAGGTACTTCACTTATACAACTCTGTCTCCAGAAAGGTTCGGTTAGTATATCCATTATTATCTTTTAAATGCAACAGAAATATCTTTTTATTTTCTCAGGCTTTCAGACTCTTGTGCATTCTCTCCCCATATCTCCCCAGGCTACTTGTTGATGTACTGAAAGTTGCTAAGAAGTCTAGCAGATACACGAGTAACATCCTCTCAGCATAAATCATCACCAATGGGCCCTGAACAGTTTCTACCTGATAACCAGATTTAAAAGCCAAATGGAAATGAATCTAGATACTCCTCCACATCCAGAAATTCCTGCAACTGAAGCGCCATCACATACTTCAGTACCATGTCTAAGAAGTCCCCACATACTTTAACAAGTGGTGTTCACCACTATCCCTACCCAAAAGATCATCCCATCTGGTCACTTTTATTGTATGAACTTAAAATGGCAAGAGACAAGTACATTTGTAGTATGTCTCATTTCTCCAAGGATCTGTCCACCACAAATCCCCAGGCAGTACACATTAAAAAAAAAAAAACCATTTATAACTGGACAAACAGAGGATAAACTATCATCCAACAGATCTGTATTAAATATAGCATACAAATCAGAGAGAACACAAGTGACTTTATCTGCAGAATTGTGCAAGCTATTCACATCAAATAATGGAGTGGTCCACTTTTTCTTCTTGTGAATATCTAGAAGGCTTTGTGCAGAAATGATGGCAAAGAATTACCACTGAGCAGGCCTTCAGATGTTTGTACCCTATGCTTGGTAAAATCTGCTTTGAGTTTTCCCTCATTATTCCTACAGCTATATAGGGTTATATATAGTTGAAGTACAAAAAGAGCAGCATTATTATTGTGGATTATCTTTCTTTGTTTTGTTTTGGGGGTTTAGTTAACAGTCATTTTGTTATTTTACAGAAATATTTAATTTATCCTACATATATTAGTGTTCACCATACTTGAATGCAATGACACGTCATTAAGAAATTAGAACTGTTTCCTGGTACTTTCTTTTTTGATATAAATGTATATAGTATGCAATTTGGGGGACAGTTTACTGAAGAAAATGGCATATGACTAATTCATACTTACAAGTCAAATAATCTGGTAAATGCCAAGATCAATAATTGTAATCTGGTGGTGGCATTTTTGTAGTCCTGAGCCAAGGAAGATATGGTGAGGGATGTCATGTAGGCCATCTCAGGGATGGGAGACTTCCAGTCTGGTGGCAATCTCTGCTTTTGATCTGACTACCCTATTCTTGGGATCAGGTGGCCAGATCTCTCTGCAGTAAGACCATCCTCATCGATGACTTGGTATTAGATGAGGCAGCAGATCTGGCATGTATTACCAAAACCTGGCTTGGCAAAGGTGACAATGGCACCCCGAGCAGATCTGTCCAGCTTGTATCTAGTCCTTCAGCACCCTCAATGCCATGGACACAGATGTGGTAAGATTCTGGCTGTGAGGGATACTTAACTGTGATCAGGGACTCTGCTATGGAGATACCAGGCTGTGAGTGCCTGTTTGTTAAGTTGCGCTGTAGAGACAAGCTTGGGATTATACCCAAGGTTGGGATCATGCTCAGGCCTATACCATGGCAATATGGGAGGCAAAGCACATTTACTTGTCCTCCCTTATTGTGTTGGCAGACTATTATCCAGAGCCCTTCTTCAAGATCACAAATTCTCTGGGGAGGAAACAATCTTGAGATCTTCTGCCTAGCTGCTATGGCCAATTTACACAGCACTTGGGTATAGTCTTGACTCTGCATGGACAGAATTTTTGGTAGGGCGGAGCACCATCTTGTCATATTATTTGGAACTCCTTTTGGGCTATGATCTCCAAGAAAGTGGATACCCTTGGTTATTTTTTGCTACATGCCTTTTAGAGTCCTTCCTGTCCTGGGATGAGTGTGAAGTGGTGATTACTTGGATCTGGAAGGTTGTTAACACCTCTTATGGGATGGGGAGCTACCAGCAGCTTTGAAGATGCTGTCCTGGATCCAATGGTCTTGGATAACTATTGCTTTGTATCCAATCTCCTCTTTTTAGGGACATTTGTTGAGGCAGTAGTAGTGGATCAACTTCACAGCACCTTAGAAGAAGCAGATTATTTGAACACTTTTCAATCTGTGTTCAGACCTGAGTATGGGATGGAGACTGCATTGTTTGCTCTCTTGGATGACCTATTTTGGGACCTGGATAGGGGGAGTACACCCTACTTGGTCTGGTTGGACTTGCTTTTGGTACCATCAACTGTGGTATCTTGCTGGACCACCTAGAGGGGTTTAGGATAGGAGGGATTGTTCTTTAATGGTTCTGACTGTTCTGATCTTTACTCAGTGGGCAGTTTCAGTCTGTTGCAGTGAGAGTGGAGAGATTGGTCAGGTGACCCTTGATGTGTGGGGTTTTGGTTCTCTCTCCCCTGCTTTTTAACATCTATATGAAACCAATGGGTGAGATAATCCAGTGGTCTGGAATCATCAGTGCACTGATGATACCCAATTGTATATCACTATCCTGTCCTGGTACATGGAGGCTGTGAGAGTCTGCATGGGACAGAACAGGTTGAAAAAACTCACTGTTTTTTCGGAAATTAAACTAGGGCATTCTCTTTGATTATATATGATGCCATCCTTATGCCATAAATCCAGTCCTTTAAAAATTGCAAAAAAAAATTCAAGAACACGATATGTACTGAATTGTCATAGTTCCAACAACCTGTTTGCTAAAACTAAAAAGCATAATGGAACAGAGAATAGGTAATAGATTTATAACTATTAAGCAATTAGGTTATAGTTACATATCTGTTACCTATTCTCTTTCCATACTAAATGTACTATGTCATATAGTACAATTCAAGATCATTCTAATTTATGTTCCATTATTTAAGTTACTAAGATCCATGGATGTAATTAACGTGCTTTGAAAACTATAGCCCACTAGCTTTTTTGTTTGATCCTGGTGTATCACAGCTTATTAATATTTAGCAGAAGACTGGGTTTGGGGGGATAGAGGCTGTATCTTTAGCTACTGCAGAAAAAAGCAATTTCTGCATCCTTGTGTCATTATTTTCTTCTTTGGCAAGTTTCCCAACTCCAGTGAATGGAACAACAGGAAATCAGGGTGAGGTGTGAAATTTTGTTACCTAGTCCTCCCACATTTTACCTGTGAGATGTTCTGAAGGGTAGTAGAAGACAATCATCTCCTGCTTTACCAGAAATTGCCAAGAAGAGAAGAGAAGCCAAAGTCAAGAAAGACAAAAATCTTCAGAAGGAAGTTAACAAAGAATTTCAGAGAGGTGTTATAAGAGTATTACAACAATATCTGTAAAGACATTGAAGATGGAAACAGACATGGAAAAACAAGGGAAGTCTTCCAAAAGTTCTCTGAATGCAGAGAGAAGTTCCAACCTTGAATCAGTATGCTAAAGGTGACAGTGGACAGATAGTAACTGATTAAAAGAAGATCAAAGATGGAAGCAGTATACTGAAATTTTGTATAGAGATGTCAACATCTAAGATACTTTAGAAGATATTTCCTACTTACAAGAATTTCTAGTACTTGGAGATGAAATTAGATCACCACTCTGAGCATTACCAAATTGAAAGGCTACAGGAATTGATGGAATACCCACAGAAATATGGCAAGCAACAGAAGAAGAATTAGTAAAGCTATGCCAGCAAATCTAGAGAACAACAGAGTAGACAAACCATGCCAGCAAATCTGGAGAATGACACAGTGGCCAAGAGATTGATAGAGGTTAGACTACATTCCAATACCAAAGAAATAAGTCTTAACAGAATGTGTGAACTATCATACACAATATCCTTAATTTCACATGCAAGCAAAAAAAAAAAATTTTTTTTTGCTGCCTTTGAGTCAGTCTTGACTCCTGGTGACTGCCTGGACAAGTCCCTACAGTTTTCTTGGCAGGGTTTTTCAGAAATGGTTTGCCACTAGGGTTGAGAGTGACTGACCAAGGTCAACCAGGTGGCTTTGTGCCTAAGTGGGGGACTAGAATTCACGGTCACCCAGCTTCCAGCTTGGTGCCTTAACTACTATACCAAATGGGCTACAAAATATTGCTCTGGATCATCCAATGTAGATTAGAGCCCTAAACAGATGTTCAAGCCAGCTTTAGAAAAAGCTAAGGAATGTGAAACATTACTGCTGATGCATACTGGTTAACTGAGAAAGCCAAAGAATACCAAAAATAAGTCAGTATGTGCTTCACTGATTATAGGAAGGCCTTCAATTGTGCCTAATCATGTCAAGCAGTGGAATGGGCTTAGAAAAATGAGATTTCCAGAACATCTCATTGTCCTCATGCAAAACCTATACACAGGTCAGGAAGCCACAGCATGGACAGAACGTCATAAAAGAGACTGGCTTCAGGATGGCAAAGAACAAGACAAGGCTATATACTCTCTATTTATTCAATCTATGTGCAGAACATATATTAAGGAAAGCTGGATTGGAAGAAGATGAGAGTGGTTTTAAAACAAGAGCAAGAATCATCAATAACCTGTGCTATGCTGATGACACTACTCTCAAAGCTGAAAATGCAAATAATCTGCAAGCTCTAGTAAAGAAAATCAAGGAGCACACTGAAAAAATAGGACTAAGATTAAATATAAAGATGACCAAACTAATGACAATGGTACAGCAACCAGCCTTAGAACCGACAATAAAAATACTGAAGTGGTAAATAGCTTTTGCTTTTTAGGATCAACTATCACTAGTAAAGGAGCTAGCAGTCAAGAAATAAGCCACAGGCTAGCACTTGGTAGAGCCTTGGAAAAGATATTCAGATATGTCTATATCTACAAAGATTAGTATTGTGCAATTGTTTTCCCTATGACACTCTATGTAAGCAAAAGTTGGACTCTGAAGAAACTGGATAGAAAGATTATTAACTCTTTTGAAATTTGGTGTTGGAGAATATCATGGACAGGCAACAAAACAAAGAAAATGGATCATCAAATAAATCAATCCAAAGTTCTCACTCAAGGCACAAATGACCAAGCTCCAATTATCGTACTCTGACACATCATGCAAAGACCTAGCTCTTTAGAGAAGTCTATAATGCTGGGAAAGGTGGAAAGAAATAGATGATGACCAGCAGCAAGGTGGATGGACAGCAATGGGTACACTATTAGAAGATCTGAAGCACTAGGTTGTGGTCAAATTTTCCTGGAGAAAATTTATCTATATGGTTGCCAAGAGTCGACACCAACTTGATGGCACATAATCAATCAACACAACCTTGAAAGCCTCTCAGAGATTCCTTCTACCTCCTCTTATACTAAACAGAATTAAGGCAGGATTATCTTGAGTTTCTTTCTCACGCACACCCTTCCTTCCCAGGGCTAAGTTGATCTTTACTTAATGATTATTACATTCTTTCTTCAAGATTATCTCCATACTCTTCTACACCTCTTTAGAATATTGGGTGAAGAGAATTCCAGACTGAACTAACATAAATAACCAGAAACGGTGCTTGAAACCTCAAAGCCTTTGGTCTTAGAGGACTTCAATATTCATGCTAAGATTGTCTTGACAGCAGCTCAAGATTTCATAGCTTCAGTGATTGTTTCAAAACCATCCATGAGTCAGACTATGTGGTTAAATATTTTTTGCCCTGGGAAGAGGGGCTTGAAAAGTAGTCCTTGCATGGAAAGATCACTGCCAGATGAAGGCTGAACTACTGCAGAGGAGGGTATCAAATTAGAATAATCTGCTCTCATTTGGATTTCATGGGAGTTTGATTCAGCAGCTTAAATGACTCCTTTCAACTCAGTAATTATATGAGGTCTTCTATTTAGTGGCTATTTCTGGTGCCGATTTTTAATGGTTTGTAACAGCCACAGAATGCAAATGGGAAACATATTTTTACATACGAACATAAATACTATTTCCTTTCAGACACAACTTATTTAGGTCTACTTCACTCTGAATTTAGGCCTGTTTAGGCTTTAAAAAACACTTTATTTGTCTAGATAAATAGTATTTACTAGAAGAAAAACAGGTGAAGTCTTACACTGCTCATTCTGCTAGCTATTTCTGAGGTCTTTGATACAATCAAGTGCTGGACAGATTCTCCTGATTCAAGGTACTATATCGCTGTAGCTGCTATCTGGAACCAGTTCTAATAAGTGGCAGAAGATCCTTTGGCTTTTAAGATAAGTCTTCCATTTCTTTTAGCTTTAATATGGAACAGTTGGGGAATGAGGTAGTAACCTACAGCAATAACACCTAATTCTACTTTTCTTTTAAATCTGGATCAGGTGAAACAATGGGAATGTTAAGCAAATCCCTGAAATCAATGGCCTGCTTCTTTATTAAATCCCTCTATGGCTTGATAAGACAATAGCTGAAAGACATGAACACCACAATAATAATCCAAGACCTCAAGGTGCCCTCTCAGAAGTGAAGCAGCTGATGACTTGAAAGGCTTCTCAATTAGTGACATGACATTTTCCTCCATATGAAATTAGTGATACCAAATTTAGTATCTTTTAGGCACCATGAAAAACCTTTTTTTAATTACCAACCTTTAATAGTTTCTGTCATTGCTGCAAGTTTTATTTGCTCCTTTATCTTCTAGATGTTGTCATAAGCTTGCTGTCATATTTGTTGTACTTCTATGTCAGAACTATAAAAAGTTTTGCTATATTAATGGAAAGACTTCTGCTGACAGAAGGAGAATTCTGCTTATAGAATATAATAAAATCCATGGATCCAACCTTTCCTGAGAATAAGCTGAAATTTTAAAAACCCTGCACAAAATTAAATAAATTCATTGCCTTGATGCAAAATCAGTATTTAAAAAGTCACATATTACCAGTTTTCATACTCAACCTTTTAACAAGTATTTTTTTTAATATGCTACATAGCCCAAACCTCTAAATATTTCAGATCTACTGCAATTAAAAAAGAGGAAGCATATACCATTTTTCAAAATGCCCATTTTTATTTTTAAAAATTACTAACATCCTCAATGAAGTACCTTCTTCCACAATGAATAATGTAACACAGAATACTATAGAAACCTATTGGAATTAAGCAAAGTAGTGTATCTTACCTCTGCGTGAATATTTGCAACTGATCCAACTCCATTTTCAGTGCTTATATTACTGGAACTATTGTTTGGAGAACTAGGACCAGATCCAGGAGCACTATTGCATGCAGATTCTAAAATACATTAAAAACATTTATTAATACCCTTAAGTTATTTTGTTCAATATTTGGGAGATCTATAGATCATGTACTATCAGATCTCTGTGTGGATGCTGATATTTGTTTAGATTAATAATATGTTTGTGAAACAGACTGGTTTGCAATTTTATCTGCAATAGGAATAATTTTTACTGGTTTTACTGTTGGTTTATTCTATTAATAATACAGCGGAATTATTTGGCTGGTATAATTTGGGGATTTTTAAAAAAATGTATTATATAATTTAGATTAAACATATCTAATTTTACAGATCTGTTTGGTACTAAGATTTATTTCAGGACCAGTATGTTTTACCTAACTTTGATTTTAAAAACATATAGAACATACTGTTTTGGAAAAGTTTGCAGTAATTGCTTATTACAGTTATTTTTCCAGTTGGAGGTATTCAGCACCTATTTTTTTACAGAAAGGTAGAGATATTTCTTAGATGTTTGGAGAAGAAAGTGAGCCCAAAAACTGTTAATTATACTCTGAAGAGTTGTTTTTCCTCTTTGGTTTTAAAACAAACATTTAATTTTTTTCTGTTCTTAACATTTGAGGAACCTAAATAGAAATCTTAGTTTTAAAGTGTTAATAATGTTTACCACACTTTCTACAATAAAATACATTCAGAATCAGTATAATGTTTTATTCTCACTTTTTCATATGAAAACTTTGGTTTAAACCTATTTCTGAAAACAGAATCAAAATAAGTTTTTGAGAAGGATATTCAACGTGAAATATTTATAAAACTTGAGGGGCACCTTTCTATTTTTAATTTTGCTTTTCAATCACCATGGGAAAGGAACATAGAGCAGCTTTTGCAGTCAGATTACTGATTATTATTTCAGATAGGCATCTTGAAGAATGGCAAGAACCTGGGGGTACAGTAATCCTCTTTTATTATTCATGGCATAATGTTGCCTCACTGTGTATTTAGGTCTCTCATTCAGAGTTGTGTGGTAGTATTATTTTTGAGAACATCACTATACTTGTCTGACACACAGAGAAAAATGAAATATGTCAAGGATGGGGAAAAGCACTTCAACGGTCTGATAACAATACGTAGGACAGTTCTGGGAGCTACACTTTAAAAGAGATTCAGGTAAAGTAGAACAGGTACAAAGAAGGTAAACATGATGATCAGGACACTAAAAATGAATTTATATGAGAGGAATGGCAGGAGCTGATTATATTTATATGGAATATAATAATACTCTTCAAGGATTTGAAGGGATGTCACACAGAAGGTACTGTATTTTTCCATCAATAAGACGCCCGCATGTACAAGACGACCCCCACTTTTCCAACCCAAAATTAAGAAATCAATATTT